CTCTGGGGTCCTCAGCACAGGAAGGATATAGACCTGTTGAAGCAAGTCTGGAGGAGGGCCATGAAGATGGTTAGAGTGATGAGGCACCTATGAGGAAAGAGCTCTGGGGTCCTCAGCACAGGAAGGATATAGACCTGTTGAAGCAAGTCTGGAGGAGGGCCATGAAGATGGTTAGAGTGATGAGGCACCTCTCCTATGAGGAAAGGCTGAGACAACTGGATTGTTCAGCCTGGAGAAGACAAGGCTCTGGTGTGGCCTAATTGTGGCCTTCCAGTACCTGGAGAGAGCCTACAGGAAAGATGGAGAGAGACTATTTACAAGAGCATGTAGTGACAGGTCAAGGGGGAATAGATTAAAACTAAAAGAGAGTAGGTTTAGATTAGATTTTAGGAAGAAATTCATTACTGTGAGGGTGGTGAGCACTGCAACAGGTTGCCCAGAGAAGCTGTGGATGCCTCATGCCTGGAAGTGTTCAAGGCCAGGTTGGATGGAGCTCTGAGCAAGCTGGTCTGGTGGAATGTGTTCCTGCCCGTGACAGGGTTGGTGAAACTAGGTGAACTTTAAGGTCCTTTCCAACCCAAACCATTCTATGATTCTGTGAAGAAGTAAAGATGGACGGTTTACACACCCAGTGGCATTCAGATGGGAGTCTGAAAAAACTCAGATGTGAAATAGCAGAACTGGTGGCCAAGGTGTGCCACCTGCCACCATAAATGGTCCCAGAGGAGTAGTAGGTTGAAGTCATGTTGGTTAGCAGTACACAAGCAGATCTCAAATGGATCCCTGGAATCTGCAAACTGATGATTTTGACTTCTATCTTACCAGGGATGGTAGAGTCTTCAACAACAAATAAATAGGACACTGAGTGCATGAACAAACAGTGTCTTTGGGGAGTTGCTGTGGTTTCTTTAAAGGGAAATCCTTTTTCACTAAACTGCTGGATTCAGTGTGTCAGTAAGCATGTGGATGAAGGGCATCCCTGGAATGTAATGGCTTTGGAATTTTTTTTAAAGCCTTTGACAAGGTTCTTTATCAATTCTTTTTTTTTTTTATGTATTGGAGGGAATGTTCATTATTATTCTTGCAGCTGGCTAGAGTTGAAACCAAATAGTGTTCACTTTTTTTTGAATGGCACAGTCAGTAGTTATGTCTCTCTGGGATTCTTGCTGGGAGTGGTTCTGGTCAACATCTTCCTTTGTGACCTGAAGAAGGTAGTGAACAGAAGCTTGTGGGCAATGTTCTTATGGGTAGCCAAATGCTATGCCAAGGAAAGGAGCTCCAAAAGAACTCATAAAACAGAGTGGGTAGGCAAATAAGGGGTAGAAAAGCTTTAAATACAACGTAAAGTGTCTAGGTAAAAGAAATCTAAACTTTCTTTACACCACGTTGACCTGAGCCACTATGCAGGAAAAGTCTTGGCATCATCATTGGCGGTTCTCTCATATCACTGGCTCAGCACAAGTAATTTTCAAAAATGTTAGCAATATATTGTCATCTCTATATCACCAGAAAGGGTATTAAGAATAAGACAGAGATGATGTTTTGTCACTATACAAAACCTTAGTGTGCCCATTTCTTGAATATTAGGTAAATCTTTAGTGTCGACATCTCTAGAAGGAACTACTGAAATAGAGTATGATACAAAGAAGAGGAATTAATGCTACAGGGAATAGAATAGCTGCTTTAAAATGAAAAATTCAGAAGTCAGAGATGCTTCAGTTTGAAGAGGAGAATCAAAGTTTGCAAAAGCAGAAAAACACTGAATAAACCAAATGTCAAACTGTTCACCCAATTGTGCAATACAGGAAATAGGTGACATCTAAAACTAGTAAACAAGGATGGATAAATTAGTGACCAAAGTGAAATATTTCTTTACACATCAGGTTTGAGCCTCCGGAGCTTGTTGCTGCATGTGGTTGCGAAGTCGGCAGTATCAGCCAATTCAGAAAGGGATTAGACACATTCGTGAGGAACCTGGATACTAACAGGACTGGATCAGGGATAATCCCTTCTGATATTTCCTAGTACAATTGTTATGGATGCTGGAGAAGCGTGAGGGGAAGATACTGTAGGAAGCAATAGGCTCATGTACTTGCCCTAAGTGCCATCTCTTGTTGTTCCTCCTCTAACAGAGCTCTTTGTTGTACACCCACCTTTGTTGTGATCCAGTATGGTTTTGTTACATTCTTATGTTTTGGTTGTTTAATGAAGACATTTACTCAGAGGTTTAAATGAGCTTGGGGCAAGAAGCTGAGTTTGTCTGAGAGAATGGCTTCTCCCAGTTGTGATCCATTGATATTGCTCAGTGAAAGGAAGAGTGGAGCAAGTCTTTATTTTACTGGTGTCATATACATCTTCATGTCTTCCAGTTTCTTCGTATCCAAATTTATCCAATCAAAGTGATGGAAAACTGTAGCTAAATAAGTAACCACATTTGAGCTGATGCACAGTGACCAACCAAATGCAGCAACTACCAGCCCCTCTTGCCAAGTAAAACACAGTAGTTTAAACCATGATTGAGTCTGACAAATGATTTGTAGTTTAAGCCTAGTACCTCTTGATTCACCCTCCAACATATGGTCAGTTACTGTAATTTGAATGATGAATGTCACCTCATTAGGCTCCAGTACTGATTTTTTTTCCAGCTGAAGTCTGTACACTTTCGTTCACTTTCATATATATTCTCCCCCTTTTATCAGGGTTTTTCTTCACAATATTCAGCACTTTAGCTCTACTTAGGAAAGGACTGTGCATGTTTGAGGATTAGAAGTGAGTATAACTTGGTAGGACCCAGAACTACATATTCAACTCAACAAATGCTGTTTCGAACACCTCACATATCAGTAATTGATGTAGCATCAAAGCCACTGACCCAGTGAATCACACGTACAGTCTTGGCTATGAAAGGAATGACAGACAGAGCTGAATCAATGTCTGCATAGCTTTTAAAGAGAGTCCTTGTCGACACAAGTGCAACAGAGCACCATCTCTGAATTAGAAACCACTTTGAACCGATTGGTGATTCCCTCTAAATGACATAGGAGTCTTGAGTTAGTATTTTCTCTAAAGTTCAGTTTATTCTCTGTATCTTGCAGAAGATATATTTGGTGCATTTTGCTGCACTTTGTGATGTGCACAGCAGATTTCAGGTCAAAAAAGCATGAGGAAATTAAAAGAAAATAACTGGGGAAAAGGTGGAAAGAGATTCAACTTGAATTATTTCACATCTTTAACCACTGAGCTGTTGTCTTGAGGTCGGATACCTCTACACAACACTGGTAATCAAAATAGTCTAATGATTTCTAGCTAGGAAATTACTGTATTTAAGGTATGACAACAAAGGAGTTGCAATTAACAATGCTAGTAATACTATCATGTTGCAAGCATGAAGCTGTGAACATCTTTGAGATGGTTAGCATGCTCTTCTTAAACATCCAGACCTGCCAGTATTGAAGAGAGAATCAGACATGTAACCAAAGGAGCAGAACACAGGTCACCTTTTTGATTTGGTGATTAACATCTGTATAGCTATTAACAGACAGAATGACAGGAAAGAAATTAAAGAACAGAATATGCATCAACAATGCCTTCTTCTTTTACTAATCCTAAAATGAATATTTGAAATGCAAAAGCTGAAGTGTATGTGAAGAAGCTAAATATGGATTCATCCAAGATAGGTTGCTGACACAGCACATTTCTTGTCTCTGCCTGTAGAAAGTTTTCCTCTTGGCAGGTGGGGGCACTCAGTCTGTCTGATGTCTTTCTGAAACTTAAAATTTCACTATCTCCACGGTTTCCCCAGAATGTTAAATGAAGAGTTTGTTGTATGAACACAAGTGGGTTCTTTTTTCAGCTTTTTAAACTATCCTGGTAGCAAAGGGTATGTGGAAGCCTGATCCTCCTCTTTCACTTGCAGGTCAGTATTAGTTTTGATGGGATTGCAAAATCAAGGGACAAAATCAACCCAAAATTTAGGCTATCCCGTAATTTGATTTCCGCTATTATCCCTGTTTTGCAGACAGGTCAGGGTCATTAAGACCTCTTGGTGCACCCAAAGCCCTGACAAGCCTCACCTGGACCCTCAACCCATGCACTTCCTGTCCAGTGCCCCAGAGCTCCATTTAAGCTCAGGCCCCTTGTCTTCTCCTGACCTATATCAGTGTCTTTGTGCTCAACCCTGTCCCTGCTGTTCCCATTTTCTCACTGGGCTCCCTGGATTGCCTTTAGATGTGAGTAATTACCTTTCTATGTTTGCTGATCGCCAGACATTCGCTGCTACCACCCTTGCCCTATCAGTGCATTGTCCTGGTTAGGGAGCGAACTCTGCCTTCCTGACTTGTGTCTCTTTGCAGCTACAGCCTTGTGGAGCAGCCCAGCTGTTCCTGTTCTCTGGCAGTGAGCTGTGGCTTCTGTGAAGGACCTGCAGTTAGTATACTGCCAGACGTACTGTAGCACAGTGCTGTTCAAGCAAGGCCTAGGGTCAGTCTAGCCTAAGCTGAGATGAGACTCCTGGAGCCATGGGCAGAGGGGGTGGCTGAAGGGCTCAGGTGAGACTGGTGAGGACAGTTAAGGGAAATCAGTGCATTTGGGGCCCTGCTGCAAAAGAAATGAAGCTTGAGTAACTTACTGACACTGGAAATGAGAAAGGCAAAGAAGTTTTGTAACTATTAATGTATTATCTAAAAGTGTGGAGAAGCAATGCACAGTGGCAAGCAGTTGGTTAGTTTACATGTGTGTTCAACTCTAATGCTATTGCTAAAGAATTTTCTTTCTTATTTAGAATATGAGTGGATAGGATCAAGAACCTTGCTATGCTACGTGGGTGTAGGGCATTCAGTCCTGGCAGTGTCTGGAACTTTCCATTAGCTTGTCACTTGACCTCACTGAAAAAATGATATACAAAAATAAGTGGGTTTCTGATCTCTGATACTGTTGATTTTGAGAAAATATGCATATGCATATGAGGAATATTAAAATAGATTCTGACTTCATACTTTCAGGTTTCTGAGCATGCAGAACTTTCCTGGATTCTTGGGTGCTTGACTAATGTGCCACGTCTGCTGCGTTTGCCCCAGTGGAAGGTATGGAAAGGAAATATATGGGAATTCAGTAGAATTGTTCTTCTTAAAATACTTGTTGTCTGTGAAGTACCAACTGTATCTTGGTTATACTTGCTTTAAGTTTAAGTAGTACTGTAGTCCTGTGCTGGAAAGGGGGAAATGTGTCTTTCCAGGTCTGTTGCTTTCAGTGAACATTTTCCTGCTGGAAGCTACAGGATAATATTTGTGGCAGAGACTTGCAGAACCTGTACTAAATATGAGGTTTGTTTAGTGTTGTTAAACTGATTTTGCTAGAATTTTTGGTGTTATTTCAATGCTTATTTAATAGTACAAAGCTATTACAAGATATTGCAGTGGAAACCTTGAGCCTTGGTGATTAAGGAGTTCCATAAACAGCTTTTCTTTTTCTACTACAAAGAGTGTCTGTTCTGTAGATTTTATGGAAGTGTTCAAAAGAGGCATATGTTGGAAGAGGAGTATAAAAATTATAAGCACTAAAAATGTGCTGAGTGATAATGTATCTTAAATGCTTGCCTTTACAAGTTTCAAATGTTCATCTTCTTAATCTTGGTACTGCATCAGCATGACTGCATCAACTGAGTTCTTGCATTTAATTTCCTTGTATTTTATTCTGCCATTAAGTAAGCAGAAAAAGCAAACGTCAGGAGAGAGAAGTATCTGAAAAAGGGGGAAAAAAAAAAAAACCAACAGCTTAAGAGCAGTTTGGCTTGCAGAGTTCAGAGCAGTCTTAAATACCTCCAGATGTTTTCTTTTTTTCCTGTTTTTCTTTTTAATTAAATAAAACCAGTAAAACTTAAATACCGCAACCAACATTAATGCATGGCATAGATTAAAGCAAACCTTTTCAAACCTGAGGTTCTAAAGTTAAGCTCTTAAATCCAACTTTGACTGGATTGACTTTCCAAATCTACAGATAGGTGTTACAGGTGCTAGGCTTTGCAAATTAGGTTCTCTGAACCCTAGGCATTCAGAGATGTAGACAGAATAAAGAAGCTGTAGGAGGGGGTGAGAAAAAAATTAGATTTCAGGGGGTTTAATATATTTAACCATTGCTAAAAACAAAACATAGATATGCTTTTGCTAGAACAAAATTGGTATCTGTAGTCTGAATATCTTGGTTTAAATGGTCCATATCACAGGGCAGTAAATCATAGAATCATAGAATCAAGTGGG